GTGAGAAGGTCCACAGAAAGATTAAAAAATGAAAACCTTCATGGTACAGATATAATATCAGCTCAAGAACTGTTAAGCCTTATTACCTTCTTGAAATTAATGACCCCAAATTCCCTATAACAGTTTAAAAATTAAGAGTAGAAATCACAGAATTAAGAATGAGAGAGAGAGAATATGTTCCAGAAATAATTTGTGGACCACAGATCTTATAGCCAACACTTACATCACTGTTAAACATAAAGTACTAACATTAGTAACTCACAAAAAAATTGATATTTTTTATGGGTAACTTTCTTTTTCACTGATTTATATGCCTATATACTAGTGCTATTATATAGTCTTAATCTTAACTAGAATAAGTCTTAGATATTCTTGACCATTTACTTTCACATATGAATTTTAAGGTCAACTTGTCAAGTTCCATGAAAAATACTGAAGGGATTTTGATTGGAATTCCACTGAATTTTACAGATTATTTGGGGTCAGAATTGATATCTTTATGATGTATAGTCTTTTCAGCCATAAGCAGGTATATATCTGTATTTTAATCAGGTGTTCATTTATGTCACTCAGTAATGGGTGGTAATTTTTTCTTAAGTGCATTGTATATCTTTTGCTTATTTTCAGTGAAGAATCACATATAAATTTTGCCAGAGACAAGAAGATAGGAAAAAAAGCTGCCTTAGCTTATTTGTAAGACTAGTATAACTTTGATACCAGTTGAGGGCTTGTTAGCAGTCAAGTGCAAGTAAAGTAATAGAATTTCTTAAGAACACAGATGCACTTATATAATACTGTACAGCAACTATACCTCAGTGAAAAAAAACACAAATGCAAAAGTATTAAATAAAACACTAGCAAACTGAATACGAGAATATATATATTTTTAAATTACTGCTAATTTCTTCATTGAATATAAGGATCTATTATGAAAGTATCATGCCACTCTTGGATTAAAAAAGAAAAGCAACATGATTTTTTCAATTGATATACATTTAAGTTGCTTCTGATTTTTTATCGTTGTAAGTACTGCTGTCAGGAATTCCCTGGTGTTCCAGTGGTTAGGACTGCATGCTTTCACTGCCGAGGGCTTGGGTTCAATCCCTGGTTGGGGAACTAGGATGCCACATGCTGCATGGTGCAGCCAAAAAAAAAAAAAGATAGTCTCAAAAAAAAAGTATTGTTGTCATCACCAATCTTGGACATAAGATTGGTCACATCATTTCCTTAAGAAGATTTTCCAAAAGTATATATATGCAAATTTGAATTCTGATGTATTATTAAAATATGGAATCATCAAACTTTTTCCATAAAGGACCAAACAGCAAATATTATAGGCTTGTGGGCCAAAAGGAAAAATTGAGGTTATTATTTAGGTAATTGAGAAAACAAATTTCCATAGATTTTTATTGATAAAATTTTAAATGTAATAATTGAGTATGATAGAAAACAAATTTCCACAAATCTTTATTGATAAAATTAAAAATCTATTAATTGAGTACAGTTTTCATAATAAAGTTCTACAGATGTGAATAATGGAATTCTTTTGTGGGGGGATAACATTTCTCTTAATAAGGGTTGAAAGGTGGTTTTCCTTAACAACAAAATCTGTTGCAAATGTTCATCTGTGAATACTGATCTATGATGAGATTTTATGTATTTCAACTTTGCAAATTTCTTTCCTCATAGATAAGTACTGCCAAATACTGATATCAATCCATGAGCGTATGGTTTAATTGCACATATTCACCAATCAGAAGGCATTTTTACAATTCTATTAGCTAAAGGCTAGACTGCCTTTTAACATGTTACTACATTGCAAATTAATTACTTCCTATTAAAGTTCCTTAATTGCAACATTAAATAGACTTTGGAATATGGACATTACCTTTGCACTTGTATCAAGGTTGAAAAATGCTGCTGTGGACTGAAATATATTGCTGGGAATTTGTATAGGAATGGAGATCTCACTTCTTTTTTTAACTTTTGACAGTGCAGGAAGTGTATAACACAGCCTATAACACAGCCTATTACTTGCAAGTCAAACAATGTTAGTTCTCACTGAAATGACTTTATCACAATATAAGTTTCACATATAAGTACTGTTTTGCTTGTAATAGTTTCAGATTGAAACACTTTCAAGCCTTCAGCATAAGGTAATTCCAAAGCCATTCACAGTTGAGTGGTTGAGCACAGTTCTTCCAACCATTTAAAAATGTAAACACCATTTTCTTTTAAAATTGAAGTATAGATGATGTACACTATTATATATACAGGTGTACAATATAGCAATTCACAATTTTTAAAGGTTATACTCCATTTATAGTTATAAAATATTTGCTATATTTCCTGTGTTATACAATATACCCTTGTAGCTTAATTTATATCTAATAATTTGTACCTCTTAATCCCTTATGCCTATAATGCTCTTTCTTCCCTCTCCATTGGTTTGCTCTTTATATCTGAGTCTGCTTCTTTTCTGTTATATTCATATATATATATGTGTTATATATATATATATGAATATAACATATATATAACATATATATGAATATAACATATATATAACATATATATGAATATATATATTCATATATATATGAATATAACATATGTATGAATATAACATATTCACATATATATATGTTGTATTTTTTAGATTCCACATGTAAGTGATATCATACAGTACTTGTTTTTCTCTGACTTATTTCACTTAGCATAATGACAAAACCAAAAAACCTACTGAATGGGAGAAAACACTTGCAAACAATATGACTGATAAGGGGTCAATATCCAAAAATATATAAATAGTTCATACAACTAATCATCAAAAAACAAACAACCTGATTAACAAAATGGGCAGAAGAACTGAATAGACATTTTTCCAAAGAGGAAATGCGGATGGCTAACAGGCACATGAAAAGATGCTCATCTTCACTAATCATCAGGGAAATGCAAATCAAAACCACAATGAGATATCACCTCACACCTGTCAGAATGGCTGTCATCAAAGAGAACACAAATGACAAATGTTGGCGAGGATGTAGAGAAAAGGGAACCTTCATACACCGTTGGTGAGAATGTAGACTGGAGCAGCCACTGTGGAAAACAGTATGGAGGTTTCTCAGAAAACTAAAAGTAGAACTACCATATGACCCAGCAATTCCACGCCTGAGTGTATATGTGAAAAAAACAAAAGCACTAATTCGAAGAGATACATGCACCCCAGTGTTCATAGCAACATTATTTACATTTGCCAAGATATGGAAGCAACCTAAGTGTCCATCAACAGATGACTGGATAAAGAAGATTGTGGTACATATCGGGCTTCCCTGGTGGTCCAGTGGTTAAGAATCTCTCTGCCAATGCAGGGGACATGGGTTCGAGCCCTGGTCCGGGGAGATCCCACATGCCGCAGAGCAACTAAGCCCATGTGCCACAACTACTGAGACTGTGCTCGAGAGCCCTTGAGCCACAACTCCTGAAGCCCGTGCACCTAGAGCCCATGCTCCGCAATAAGAGAAGCCACCACAATGAGAAGCCCGTGCACTGCAATGCAGAGTAGCCCCTGCTTGCTGCAACTAGAGAAAGCCCACGCGCAGCAACGAAGACCCAACGCAACCAAAAAAAAAAAAGGTCATTAAAAAAAAAGAACACACACACACACAATGGAATACTACTCAGCCATAAGTAAGAGTGAAATTTTGCCATTTGCAGCAACATGAATGGACCTGGAGGGCATTATGCTAGGTAAACACCATTCTTTACTCAAGGGCTGTACAAAAGGCAGGCTATATTTGACCTATAGGCCATAGTTTACTGACCCCTGCTCTGTAAAGTTTATATTCCCAGTAAATGTAATAAGTGCCTGTTTCCCCCCAAACTTTGCAACCAGTAAGTAATAACTTTAAAAAATTTGTCCAGTTTGAAATTACATTTTTTCAACTTTGAACAGTAGGACAGTGAAATAAATACCTTTTCATGATTATAGGCCATTTATATTTCATCATTGAAAACTTGTTGTTCATGTTCTTTTTCCATTTTTATTGCAATAAAATTCTCATTCCAACAGTCACCCTGTGTACCAAAAAGAGTTCAAAGTCCTTTTTAGTGGCTCTACTTCTTTAGAATTATTTTCCACTGCATTCTCCCACACAACCAACATTCCTTCCGTATTGAAAGACCTGCCATTGCCTGATAGAACTGTGTTTTCTCAAGCTTCTCTACGTATGTGCACCAGATATCATTCATTTTCTGTTGCCTTTTCTCCATTTTCCCTTCTACTATAACTCTTATTTATCCTTCAAGATGCAGATCAAGGATCAGTTGCTCCTCTTTGGTTCTACACCATTCTTAACTCTGCCATAAAACCTATTACACTGTGTTACTAACTGTTGTTTACAGTTGTCTTTCTCCCTACTGCTCTGAAAGTTTGTTGAGAAATGGTATTGTAATTGATCTCTCTTTTCACAACTTAATAGGCACTGATTATTTGTTGACTGAATGAGTTCAAGATAATAGTAGTGTTAATAATATTAATAAAGTAATATGTGCCAGACACATAAATATCAGAGACAAATTTGTATAATAGTATCCCTTATAAAATGCTTATCATAATGAACAATTGAATTTTGAAGAAGCTATCTCAGATAGTAAAATTTTATTAAAGAAAAGAGCCACTAAGATTTTTATTCCCTGAAAAAACTACATCAAACATTGGATTTAAAAACTTGTCTTTTTCCCTAAAGACTTAAATAATTTATTTAAATAACTGCCACTAGTTATAGCTATGATTTCCAATTCAAGAAAATTTGCTTGTATTAGAAAACTGAGAAAATTAAAATATAAAATATTTGTATTTTATCATCAGCCATGTGTGTTTTGTAATCTATTTTTGTTACTGTTTTGAAAGAACAGTAAGTTCTTTCTTTCAAAATCTCCTTTGTAACTTGACTAAGATACATTTTGGATTAATCTTTTATCTTGCTTTATTTCCAAAGGACATCCATTACCTTGCACTAGATAAGGGCGAATTGGCACTAGCTGAAGTGGCAAGAAAGAGAGCTAGTGACATTGATGCAGAATCAATAACCTCTGGAGTTGGTAAGATTTAATGCTGTTTTTTTAAAGTGCTTTTTATTTTAATCAATACTTATTCAGTATCACTTGTATTTACATTTGTAGGGCATGGCTGGTTAATTTGAATTATTTTCTTTGTGAAGACAGTGTCTTTTTTTAGAAAAAACAAGAATTAAGCCTGGGTAAATAGTACAATATGGATATTTAACTTGGAATTGTGTTAATATGCAAATTAATAATCAGTAATTAATAACTACTTAGCAAAAAGTTAAAAAGTCATTGTTCTTTTCATAAGATTTTAAGGAAAACAGTTTATTATTATTAGTGCTATTATTAAAATTAACCAACACAGGAACTTATATAATCCTTTATTTTTATACATAGACATGTCACATCTCAGAATTCCCTCCTATATCAGAAAAAGTGCTACATGTGAAATTTAGGTTTGATGGGTGATTTTTTTTTTTAATTTAGAAGCCACTAGATTCATTTTACTGTGAGTCTTCCAAAGAAGATAAATCAAAAGCCTAAATTGAATCTAAAAGTCCATTCAGAACTTTATAATATAGAAAAATGATGTCTTTAAAAACTATAATAATATCAGCATGAGTTTCCTTTTTCTAAACTCAGTTTATCCTAATGTGACCAACTCTGAAAGTACTGATCTCTGGATGTCCCAATTTCTATTGTTCCTGGTATTTCCTGGTATTAGGCAGAGGACCCTCAGAAATTGTAATAGAATTTATTTCTTCATGGAACTCCTATAAAACAAAGAAGTTTCAGTAAGGTTTCCACTTGGTAAGTTGCTTGAAAATATTATAACATTGATTATCCATTGATGGATCATCTTGTGCTTTGTTTTTGTAATGTTGGCAGCCAAAAGGAGCAATTGTCGGCTTCTCTCTAACATCACCACCAGACATCCCAGTCTTCCAGTTGGTACTGAAGGACTCAAAGCCATACTACCAGGGTAGCTCTAAAGCTGAATACCAAAGCTGACAGTTGTTTACCAGAAAGATGATTTTGTTCTCCCTCCCGCACCCTGAAAAAGTTCCAAACTGATCAAACCCAAAAGATGCAGAGACCACTTTCAAATCTTCATTCCTAATGGATAAAGGATATTCAATATTAATATAATATTAGATAAGAGTAACTTCAGTTGACCTATCAATGTATATTGTTAATTGCTAAGGATAGTGATGTGCATCCCAATAAAAACAATAATAGCTAATATTTACTGAATGCTTACTGTGGGCCATGCACTATTCTAAGTTACCTACATTTACTAATTTAAGCCTCACCATAATTCTTTGAGGTAGGTACAATTTATATTTGTGATAAGTCACTTATAACTAAATAATGAAATCATACCATATTAATAGGAATTGCTGTGTTACATCATGGAGATGTAACATACAAACATACAAACATCCTCCATCCCCATCCCCATCCCTCTTGCCATTTAGGAAACACAGTAGGAGGTTAATTCATAGCAAATTTTATCAGAATTTTCCTTAGTTGTCATGTACACTGCCTTTTCCACCAGGGTTTCAGATATAATGGAGGCAATTTTTGCATTTTAAAGCTATTTAAATTTACTAAGAGTGAAAAGGAATATGAAGAGATTACCATAAAATTTCAGAAAAATGAAAAAACTCCATTATTCACCAAAATGCATCCTGTGCCTTGTGTATTTTTTGATCAGGTTACCTAGGCCAGCTGATAATTCCTAGCCAAAGAGTTTGGTGTTCCCCCTTTGAGCCCTGCCTCATTTCTAGTAAATACCTTTATTTTTTACTGAAACCCTGTTACTCCCCATTTCTCAGCTTTTTTTCAGGCCTTATCCTATGGCTTTGATTACTATCTCTTGTCAAAGATCCATTTAATAACAACAGTAACTATCAAAAGGTGAACAGCTTAGATAAATGTTCTACTCCACTTTTGTTCCAGAAAACTGGGGTGGCTCTCACTTATATTTTAGCAGACAGAAAAAACGAATCAGCAAACTTTAAGATACAACATTTAGAATCATTGAGTCTGAGGAGCAAAAGGAAAAAAGATTAAGTGAAATGGGCCTAAAGGACTTATGGGACACTCTCAAGCATACCAACAACTATGGGAGTCTCAGAAGGACAAGTGAAAAAGAGACAGAGTGACTATTTGAAGAAATAATGGCCGGAAACTTCCCAAATTTGAGGAAAGAGATGGATCTACAAATCCAACCTCAGTGAACTCCAAATACAATCAACCAGGAGAGAGACCCATGCTAGGACAAATTATAAACTATCAAAAGCTTTTCAGCTTGAAAAAAAGCATCTTGAAAGCAGCAAGAGAAAAGCAACTTATATACAAGGTATCATCAATAATATTATCAGCAAGTTTCTAGTAGAAACCTTGGAGGCCTGAGGCAATAAAATGACATATTTAAAGTGCTGAAACAAAAAAGAATGTCAATGGATAATTCTATATCCAGCCAAACTTTCCTTCAAAAATGAGGCAGAAATTTAGACATTCCTAGCTAAATAAAAGGTGAAGGAGTTCATTACCTTCCCTAAAAGTAATGCTAAAGGGAGTCCTACAGATTGAAATGAAAGGATCCTAGATAGCAACTTGAACCCATATGAAGAATGTAAAGATCTCCAATAAAGATTAATACATGGACAAATATAAAAACAATTATTATTATAATATTTTACTACACTTTTTATTTTCAACAGGAATTAAAAGACAAATGCATAGAAAATAATTATAAATATGTTAGTAGGTACACAGTATATAAAGATGTAATTTGTGACCTCAGTAACAAAGTTGGAGCACAGAAACACAACTTAAGTTAACTTGGTATCCATTCAAATTAGATTATTATAATTTAGGATGTTATATGTAATCCCCATAGTAACTACAAAGAAAATAACTATAGAATATACACAATGGAAATTCAGACGTTTCACTACAAAATATCAACTAAACACAAAAGAAGGCAGTAATGGAGGAAATTAGGAATAAGGGGGGAAAAGGCTTTAAGACATACAGAAATTAAATAACAAAATGGGAAAAGTCCTTCCCTATCAGTAGTTATTTTAAATATAATGGAATGAACTCTCCAGTCAAGTCTGCACAGAGCAAAGAGGTTGTAGATAGGACTTGACTGGTGAGTTTATGTGGGTGAGGATAAGTGAAAGACACCCATGTCAAAAGAGCTAAAGTAAAAACAGGAATGTCATTGGGATCATGGGATATATGCTAGTACCAAAGGATAGGAATACAGGTGTACCTGAGACATAGCTCTAACCAGAAACTTAAAAGCTGTTTGGACTTTCTTCAATATTTTCTTTCTCCAAAGACCATTTTCATCTTCTCAAGTTTTTAAAGCAGTAAGCAGGTTTGCCAGTAGGACTCAAACTTTGCATCCTTTAGTTGAGGCATGCAGAGGGAAAAATTATTCTCATTCTTCCAGAATTTCCAGAGGACTTTGATTCAGCTGGTTTCCTTACCCAAGTTGTTCCCATCAACTATGGCCAGAGAGCTGGGTCACATAGCTCCAAGAAAAAGGCTCCCACAATTGGATATGATATGGGGGTCAGTTTTTAGGACAAGAGTATTAGGCAGATAATCCTATAGACATCTACTTCAGAGGTAAAGGAAAGAACCAAACATGACTCCATCCTGCAGGCCAGCAAGATCACCTTTAAAAGAAAGAAAATAGGTGTACTTTCAGGTATTCTGATTCAAGGCTCTTAGAGGACAAGCTGTCCCACAATCATTTGAATATCTAAGACAAGGGAAGGATCAGCACCGTATATCAGGATTTGAGCTGAAGAGACTTCCAAGGAAAGAAATAAGGAATGAGAAATAAAGGATACAGAACCTTGGGGAAACAAACACATAGAGCTGTTCTACTTCCCATTCACTCACTCCTCAAATCATGCCTATATGGCTGCTATCAATTTATTCCACCAAAACAGTTTTCACAATGTTACAGTGACTCCCCTCTCCCTACCCCACCATGACAGTAAATTGAGTAGGCATTTTTAAGTCCTCAACTTATATAACCTTTACAACAGTAGTTAAATATTATTCACTACTCCCTCCATGTCGAAATTGTCTTCTTGTGATTTCTCTGACATTATTCTTGCATGATTTTCTTCCTAACATTTTTCCAGCCATTCCTTCTCAGTTTCCTTTATTGCTTTGTCTTTATCAAACTTCTGTAAATTAACCAAATGCAGCAATCTGGGGAGGGTTTCAAGAAAAACAACTGAATTTCATGTAAGAACAGCAAGTTCTACAGTGTTGTTGGGTTTTTTTAAATACTTATTGATTTTGGCTGCACTGGGTCTTAGTTGCAGCATGTGGGATCTTGTTGCGGCCTGTTTAGTTGTGGCAGGTGGACTTCTTAGTTGTGGCATGGGAACTCCTAGTTGCGGCATGCATGTGGGATCTAGTTCCCCGACCAGGTATTGAACCCAGGCTCCCTACATTGGGAGCATGGAGTCTTACATACTGGACTGCCAGGGAAGTTCTTTGTAGTGTTTTAACTTGCCCTTTTCCCATCTGCCCCACCACCCAGCTCCACAGTAGCCTTGAAAACCACAGCCCATAATCCTGGTGAAAATCAGCAGCTCCAGGAGCCGGCAGAGAGTAAAGAACAGGATTGGAGGTCCTTCAAAGTCCCAATCCCAGATAACTATCATTATTTGACTGATGGTTCCTTGGAAGACCTCTTGTGTAAGCCTTTCTTTATTTGACCTGATTGGAAGCTCACTCTTTGTGAAAAAGCCTTTTCCCCAGGGTGCTTTGTGGAAAACTATTAGAGGCAGTTGTTTAAGATTTTGGCTGCCTGAGAAGGTAAATAAGTGCTGGGGCAAACAATAAGCCAACCAAAAAGCTAAAAAGGAAATTCTAGAGAATAAGATATCCATAGGAGATTTGAAAAGCTTGAAAATCTTTCTGGGACTCTGTATACTACTGTGTGCATGCCCAGGACTGTGTACATTCTTAGGAAATATCTGAGATGGTCACCTAAATTCACACCTCTGGCTGATCTGGAGGCTCTATGCATGCAAGCAATGGAGGCTAAAGCTGAGTTGTAAAATGCCTAGCTGAGCATTCAAGGGGTTCCCTAAAACACAGAACCCCCACCCAAAAAGATTCCAAGATAGGATTCTAGGATTAAAAATCTTTATCCAATCTGTAGATGACTAGGTAACTGAAGAGATTTCAGTGGCTGCACACAACAAAGAATATAGACTTTACAGAATTAGTTCAAAAGTTACCGAACAACAAATACCAACAACAAACCTTGGAGAAGAGTGATTTACAGAGTTGCCATATTATATTTAAATATATTAAATAATATATTTAACATTTACACATTTATTAAATATTTATAATATTTAAACATATTACTTAAATGCAGTTTTTCAACAAAATTTTTTTTAATTAAATTTAATTTTTATTTTATATTGCAGTATAGTTGATTTACAATGTTGTGTTAGTTTCAGGTGTACAGGAAAGTGATTCAATTATAAACCTACATATATCCATTCTTTTTCAAATTCTTTTCCCATATAGGTTATTACAGAATATTGAATAGAGTTCCCTGTGTTATACAGTACGTCCTTGTTGATTACATATTTTATATATAGTGGTGTATATATTAACCCCAAATGCACAAGATTTCTGTGTATTAATTTTGTATCCTGAAACTTTACCAAATTTATTGATGAGCTCTAGTAGTTTTCTGGTAACATATTAGGACTTTCTATGTGTAGTATCATGTTATCTGCAAAGAGTGGCAGTCTTATTCTTCTTTTCCAATTTGGTTTCCTTTTGTTTCTTTTTCTTTTGTTTTTTTTGTTTTGTTTTGTTTTGTTTGTGGTACGCGGGCCTCCTCTCACCGTTGTGGCCTCTCCCGTTGCAGAGCACAGGCTCCGGATGCGCAGGCTCAGCGGCCATGGCTCACGGGCCCAGC